AACACACTGCTACGGCCGCATCAACATCCCCGCATCCGTGAATCTAGCTAGATTCACCAACTTCGAGTTTTGCTAACATACAGGCTGGTCGCTTAAAGATGCCCACCTGAGTCTGGACCCGTGCAGCTCTGACTTGCTCATCTTTGCCCAGAAATACTTCCATTATTCGTCCCATAAGCCACTTCGTTCGATGAACACCGCTATCGCACATGAGGACTACGTCGCCTACGGCCAAGGGCTTCACTGGCTGGTACCATTTGGTTCTCCTGGTCAGGTCAGGAAGGTATTCATTTACCCATCTCTTCCAGAATCGGTATTGCACCTGTTGGGCCTTACGCCATTGTTTGCGAGTGGCTTGGAACTTCTCTTCATTCGGATATGGCGTTTGCTCAGCATTTGGGGTACCTAAAAGAAAATGATTGGGAGTCAGCGGTTCATCAGTGGGTGCGTCTAGTGGGATGTGTGTTAACGGTCGGAAATTAACCTTGTTCTCTGCCTCACACATGAGACTGTATAGGACGTGTTCTTGAAGACTTTCGTTATGTACTGCATAACCCATAGCTCTTTTGACGCAGCGTACCAAACGTTCCCAGCAGCCTCCAGCGTGTGGGTTCAACGGGCAATTGAAAACCCAGTCAATGTTTTTATTCGCAAGCGCATTTGCTATTTTGCCATTATTAAACTCCATAAGCTGGCGTTTAAGCTCCCTGTCAGCACCGACGAGGTTCGTACCGTTATCCGAACAGATACGCACAGGTGTTCCACGTCTACACATGAAGATCCTGATACATAACAGGCAGGTGTCGGTGGAGAGGTCCTTCGCCATTTCCAAATGTATCGCTCTCGTTGTTAGGCAAGTAAAGAGGGCGATCCAGCGCTTCTCGCTTCGCCTACCGATTACAACGTTGAACGGTTCCATTTAGTCTAAGCCGGTGTAGGTGAAAAGCCTAACGAATGGTGTCAGCCGGTCTACTGGCAATTGGGCCATTTCTGGTTGATCTGGAACGGCTCTTGCATTGACGCAAAACTGGCATCTTTTAGTGGTGCGACGCACTTCGACCCTTATATTAGGGATCCAGTACTTACGTCGTATTTCGGCGATTATTGTGGATTCGTTTTGGTGTTTCCAAGAGCGATGCTAATGATCTATCAGCAACTCCGTTACGTAGCATCGCTTAGCCAGGATTATCGGGGGTCTCGTGCATGATGAAATCGCGGTGGCAGCGTCTATTCGACCACACAGTCTTATGACGCCCTCCGCATCCATAACGGGACTGAGATTCCACAACGCGCTACCTTTTTCTACCCGCTTGCCCATGAGCAGGGCATGGTATTCATCCGCAAACTCTTCCATCTGTGTTGATCGTATGACTACTGTTACGGCTTTTTGCAACTCGAACACCTTCAAGCCGTCATAAACGCGTGTCGCTTTCGTCTTGAGACAATTTTCCCGAAATCGCAACATCCAGCTAATTACTCTTCTCAGTCGTGTGAAGGACGAAAATCTCTTAAAAAATGAAATATTAGTTTTAATTATTAATATCGGGAATCTGTTGCGCAGCTCAACCTCTGTAGGTTCACAAGATGCATTTGACGGCCAGTTGTAATCGTTTTGCTGTAAAAATCTCGGACCTGTGATCCAGAATGACTCGCGCTTTCCATCTCTGGAATGCGTTCCGAAGTCAGCTGGGTTTAGTGCGCTGGGTACCCATCGCCATTCATTAATTTCACTGCCATCCAAAATTTCGTTTACCCGATGCGCTACGTAGGGTTTGTAACGCCGATGATCCGATTTTAACCAAGACAATACCGTTTTTGAGTCAGACCACATCGTAACTCTATTTGGGATCTTGTCGTGACTTGCAATAATACTATTTTTGAGGCGCGTTGTGAGCACTGCTGATTGCAATTCGAGACGAGGAACAGATGCCAGTTTAATTGGAGCACACTTAGTTTTACCAGCGATGAAAACCAGTCGGATATTGCCGTGATCGTCTACAAGTCTCCAGTATGCAACAGTTGCGAATACTGACTCGCTCGTGTCCGCAAACACATGTAGTTCGACGAGTCCCTTAGCAAATGTAGCTCCGTAGCAGCGTGGTATACTTATACTCTCCAGATCTCGTAGCATTCGAAGCCATTCTTCCAGCTCACGTACACCGCGTCGGATATGCTGTCATCCCAATCTATCCGCTCCCGCCAAATTTCTTGCAGGATTAACTTAACTTCCAGGGAATATTCTGCTGCCATTCCAAACGGATCGAAGATGGACATCGTTGTACTGAGGACTGCTCGTTTTGTTGGCTTCCGCTTCTGCCTTAACACGTCTTGATTCACCTTTCCTAAGGATAGAACAAACTTGAAAACGTCTCTTTCGGTTTCCCAAAACATTCCGAGCACCTTCTGGAACAATTCGGCATTTTCTCTGTCAAAATTCAAATAATTTAATGGCAATTGTTCTTCATTTAAGCTGTTTATAAGTTGCGAGCTCGATACGAACTTTTTAGTTCAAAACCTCCGCGCTTATGAATGCGGACAACCTGATTGGTCACCGTAAAGGCCTCATCCTCACTGGAGAAACAATGCACAAAATCATCTACGTAATGATTGTTTACGATCGCCGCTACAGCCTCTGGAAACTGTTCTTTAAAGTCACCTGCGATTTTATTCTTGACGAACTGCGCTGAGCAGGGCGAACAAGTAGCTCCGAATACCATCACATTCATCACGTGTTCTTCGATTGGCGCTCCGGGATCGAATCTCCATAAAAAGCGTTGCGATGCCAAATCTTCGTGTCGAATCTTCACTTGGTGAAACATTTCCACAATATCAGCGCACACTCCATCCGGTTTCTGTCTAAACTTCATCATGACGCTTGCCAGAGACTGTGAAAAGTCTGGCCCACTGAGTAACACGGAGTTGAGTGAAGTGCCTCGTGACTCCGCCGCCGCATCAAAAACTAGCCTAAGTTTCCCTGGTTTATTAGGGTTAAACACACCAAAGTGAGGCAGGTACCAAGTCCGCTTGCTTATTGTTGCGGCTTCCTCCTTACTCAGCATCCGGAAATAGCTCTTTGCCAGATATTCAGAAATGATCCTAGCTTATGCTTTCTTCAGGTTGTCGTTCTTCTTGAACTTCCTTTCTAACGGCCATCTTTCGGCTCTCTGGCACCTCCACGTCGTCTCGCTTCCACAGCAAAGCCGTTTCTAATCGAATCCCGTCGCGCTTAGTGTTTTCTTCCAATAATTTCTTCGCTCTTAACAAGTCCTTAGCTTCGTCCTGCTTCGCCGTACTTACGCCCATGTTCTCATTAGTTATGAAATCGTTCACGAGATTTTCCATGTTGTCGGTCATATTCTCCGTCTCGCCGACTTGTGCAAACAATGTGTGATACCGCGAATAAGGAGCTAGGGGGCCCGCCGTCCCATAAATAACCCATCCAAGCTTCGTCAGCACTACTGAATGTCCTCTTCTACCGTCGTATGCTGTTCGCTTCGGAATGCCAAGATGTGCGTTGTCTTAACCTATCAATAGTTCTGGTACATCATCGTTATATTGTACGATTGGTAAGTGATGATATTTACAATGAAGATCTGCCAGGCTAAGCGACTGCATTGGCAACTGAAGATTTTCAACCGTGCGAACATCACGCATCAGAAATTTGCTGCGGTTACGCCCAACGCCGGAGATGTGAACGTCTACTCTACAGGAACGCTCCGTAACAGTCGTGCAGCCAAACCACTGCAGGGTCAAGTTATCACTGCTTCCCTCCAGTCCAAGGCGAGTCGCGGTTCATTTAGGATATGGCTGACCGTTCGTCGAAGAACGCGTAGCTATTGGCGCGTATTCATAGTCCAGCAACTAAGTCGAAACTAACAAAGTTGCAACTTAAATTTGAGTACCAACTTAAAATTTACCTCTATTCATAGTCGCATTTCAGACTTCTACTAAGTAGNCAGCGTCGAATTAGACAAGTGGTGGTCGCAATCAGCTGCCTGCAGAAACGAAGACAGATTTTGCACCTTAGTCGCAAATCCCACAAGCTGTTCGATGCAACTTTCTGATATCGGCGCAACATTTCNCCAAGTTCGATGATCCGTTTATGTAATTTTTATTTTCATTGCATGATTATGCAAATGAATAAGGTATCATTTTCTTGTTAATTGTGTGAAATAGCCAGAACAACCGCAGTGATGTGAAGTCGATGTTTATCGAAAGCATGCTGTGAAACATACAAATAGTAGATATCTAAATGTTATGCACAAATTTACTTTAAAAGAACTAGGGTGAAACTGACTTATTATTTGAGAATTTATATAAATTATTCCAATTATAAAATGGTGATATAGCTTTATTCGAATTGTAATACGCATTTAATTTCATCTTCCGATTAAGATGGATCGATCTTTGTAAATTTTAATGGGAGATTATTCAATATTATCAAAATCACCCTCTACCAACTTAATTTTTACATATTTCGTCTGTTTTCCCTTAATTTGATAAAATACTTTTTCCTAGTTACGACTTAGTTGCAGCTGCAGCCGAAACTAAATTCTAAGTTGGTACTTAGCCAGAAAAGTCGAAACTAAGGCGACTATGAATAGCTTTAGTTGTGACTTAGAATAGTTTCGACTTAGTTGAGTACTAAATATGACTATGAATATGCGCCATTGATTTTTCTACCATGCGCGTACAATACCACTGGCAGTATCTTAAATAACAATTTCGGGGCGGGACTGGGTGCTACCGTATTTGTAAAAACTTGCTGTACTGCTTGTTCTGATGTCGATGCCAACGTTTGCTGTATCGCGTACCGCGAAGTCGGCTGCGACGCTTGCTGCGGTGGCGCTGACTGCCACTGTTGTGCTCTGCCACTGGACTCGTGAAGAAGTACATGCCACCTTTTTGTACAGTGCCTGTCACCGCACTCATATTCTTCACCACAGTTGTTGCTGCGATGACTTCCCTTTAGACAATTANTTTTTTTTACAGTGCCTGTCACCGCACTCATATTCTTCACCACAGTTGTTGCTGCGATGACTTCCCTTTAGGCAATTAAAACAGAGCTTTTTGCGACGAACTAGGCGCCATCTATCCCCGTGCTCCATGTTCAGGAATATTCTGCACTTAGTAATCGTGTGCCTATCTGCGCATGACTCACACCTGATTCGCCCAGAATTTTCACCACTAGCCTCGTTGGCGTGGAAAAATCTTGAACGCCCTTCGGGTCTATTTTGTCGCGGTTCTAAGCTAGAGTAAATACACGCAGGCCGAGTTCACAATTGATGACAACTCCTGTAACCAATCACTAAAATGGCAGATTGTTGGTCGCGGTACAATTGACGAAGCGTAACGTGCCCATTCGATGCGTCTCTGTATGGGAAGCTTCAACAGGAGTTCTTCCATTAGCGTCGGATTAGACAAGTGGTGGTCGCAATCAGCTGCCTGCAGGAACGAAGACAGATTTTGCACCTTAGTCGCAAATCCCACAAGCTGTTCGATGCAACTTTCTGATATCGGCGCAACATTTCTTATTTTATTTATCTGACTCTTTACCAGCAGTTCCGGCTTCCCAAAACGCTCCTGCAAAACCTTCATAATTTGCGACACGTTCCTACTATGGATTAACAGACACTCGATAGTTTCCCTAGCCTTTCCTTTAACTGCCTTTTGTAACCGAATCATATTCTGTGTATCAGTATATTGGTACTCTGCAGTGGTCATTAAAAAAGTTTCTCTAAACATGGGCCAGTTCTCTGGACGCCCTTCAAACTCTGGCAAATCATATAGCTTGAGTGTTAATCCTAGTTGTGAACTACTTTGCGAATGACCTACTACGCTGGATGCTGTTGTAATAATTCCGTTATCATTAGCCGCATTCGCCTGTACCTGCGTACTTTGCCGAAGCTCTTCTTGAATGCTTTGAACTTGCCGCAAAATCTCAGTTAGCCGAATTTCGAGCGATTGTTGCCCAGTCATATTTGCTGTAGGCTGCTGAGGAATCGTTTCTTCAAACTCTTCGTTATCGCTATCTCCTTCATTCGCACTAGCCTCTTTACTAGCCCCGGAACGTGTTGTCGGCATGATACAAAATGGTCGCCACGAATATTCGAAAGAAATTTTTAGCCGCGCATTTTACAATTTTGGCGCGATTTCCCTAGGTTATGTTCTATACCACACTACGACGCACACCACTAACTATTAACTCTCACCCAATCAGTTCTTTAAGACACTTACCAAATGAGCTTCCTTGTTTGCTCACAGCCACACCTCGACCTGCAGCTTACTTGCTTTATGGCACGTGCTCCGATCAATTTCGATTCAATTTCATCCGATCTTGAAGGAATTTAGCGCATGTACATACAAACCGCGCGCTCTCAAATCGCTTACTTGTTACTAGCCACAGCTTTCAGGCATTACTCACACGAGGCTTTTAAAATATTAAAACTTGTAATGCGGCAAGACTCTGGTTATTCGCCAATCCATAAAAGCGAAATAAAGAGTGTGAATTGTGTCCTGGTCCGAGGAGGTTAAAAATAAAGCTCACGCCAATTTCGATGTTTATGCTGACATGAATTGTGCTTTATTTCCTGTTCAATTTGTACAATAAAGATATAATAGTTTTTGAATCATATATAAATAAATCAACTTACGCCTTTGTACGCTCCTAAGCTCCCATCACCAGGACCACAATTAAAACCTTTTGAGCTTCTTTTGATTTCGTATGTGATGGGATTACAACATTCCGATAAAATACAATGACATAAAGGGACAAACACACTGCTACAGCCGCATCAACCTAAGGATACAAATACACTGCTACAGCCGCATCAACCTATGGGTACAAACACACTGCTACGGTCGCATCAACATTAATTTACGAGAAAAAGAAAAATTACAACAAAACAACAGGCATGGACACGCCGAACACACCACAAAGTACCACCAGGACAAAAATCACCAACTTTTACCTACCTGCAGGCAAAAACTATACAGATACAACATAATGGATGTTAATATCGAGACAGCGAAGATCATTCTATTACCTGTTTCTAAAATACAAAAAGGACACCATAATAGTTAATCATCGACTAAAATCACATAACCTAAGATAAATGAACATAAATTAAGGACAAGAACTCGAACCAGACAGAACGAAAAATGACACTGAATATGGCACAACGCCGAAACCGGTTTGTCTGCAAACCAAACTTGACAAGGGATGACGGAAATTCGTTCCAAAATAAATCAGAAATGTACTCCTTTCTCCGTTTCAGAATCTGGCAACCCCTTATCGCAACTGAGATCACCATTGGCCATATGCTTAAAATTTGCCAATTGCGTTTTCTTAAAATTTCATACCTTTCACTTTAATTTATTTGAACAAATTTATTTGAAGTAATGGAAAAATACTAAAGTTATTAAAATAAACTTAAAAATTGGCAAAATATGCATTGAATTAAATAAATTCGGATGTTTATAGGTTTTGCGAAAGCAAAAGAGGAAATTTAAGAGAACCAAGTTTTGGAGGATACTAAAAGAGAGGATATGTACAAAAACCCATAATAAAAAGTTTCGACCTCTATCAAGGGGTGTCTGTACGACCTGAAACATATATGGAAGACTCGTGAATCTTTGTTATGTAATAAATATTTTCATAACAACAATATTAGTCCGCGAAATTCGAGCGTTATTTATATGTAACACTAGCGTTTAACGTTTATGTGACATTTTAGTATTTTAATGCATTTTGGTCAATGACTCCTACACTTAATAGAACTTTTCTTGCTGGTTTTGTCAGTTTAAAGTTTTTTTATACATATTGGGCCGTATGCATAAAAACTAAGCAAATGCTTTTGCTTAAAATTTCAGATCTTTTACTCTATTTGTTCAAATAAATTTATGTGAAAGGTATAAAATTTTAAGTAAAAGCGATTGCTAAGTTTATATGCATATGGTCCATTGAGTGTAACCCTGTATCACATATAATCAGGTGATCTCAACTTCTGATTCTTTTTTCACTTCTAAGTATGCACAATGCCCACAAAAGATTACCGGCGTTGTCAAACTGATCCGCCATTTGAATTTTTTTAATCTGATTTCAGATTCGTAATCAGGGACCTTAAGAACACAAGGTTGTAATAATTTAAGCGAATCTAATCGATTTAAACTGTCTTTCGCCATATTGCGTACGCCATTTTGAATTTTTCCAACCTGACCTCAGATTCGTAATAAGCGGCACAAAAGCCCCAGAGGAAAACTTCTCAAGCGAATCGGATCGACTTTGATTTTTTGGCCTCCATATTGGGTTCACCGTTATGAATTTTTAAAATCATGCTCTAGGCTCGTAATCACCAACCTTAAATAAGAACCTGCTGTTACTTTTTCTTTTTTAGTGGTGGTTTCTCCTGTGGCACAAAAGTTGTAAAGCAAAATCTAATTTACGGTTAGTTTATTTATTTATTTCAATAAAGTGATCTATGAAATACAATGATTCTTACAGACTACGAAGCGAGTTATAGATAAATTAGAATACAGTCTAAGTAATGCTTTCATTTAGTAATGACTTAAATTTAGACTTATCAAAAGAAAAATCGATATCTAAGGAGTTTGCAAACAAATCGCATTATATGCATAATTGGTCTTCACGCATTCAAGACCGAAAATTTCATTATTTCGAAGATTTCTGTGGGGAACATGGAAGAAAACTTTTTCTTTTACATAAAGCAGAGGGAAAGAGTGATCCTTCTACTGTGCAAAGATTTCAGGTCGATTAGTTGACATCTGGCATTATAAGAAGGAACAGGATCATCAAAATTTAAAGAGCGGAGGGCAAAATTGATGAACGTCTTTTGTACCCTCTCAAGCCTTTTAATATGGCAGTCATAGTATGGTCTCCATATAAATACTACGTATTCTAGCTTAGAACGAACTTGTGAGGTAAAATGTAATTTTAGAGTATACGGGTCGGTGAAGTCAGAACTAAAACGGCGTGTAAAGGCAAGCATGGAATATGCTTTTGGAATTGTGCGATTTAGATGGCTATGAAATGAGAACTTAGAATCGAAGGTCACACCTAAGTCCGAGATTTCAGACCGAGTGGTGAGCCTGGAGTCCGCAATAAAGTAAGAGGTGCAAATTTGGGAGCGAGACTTAAAAAAGGACACATGAAAACAATTGCTAGTGTTAAGTTGCAACCGATTTTTCTTACACCATTCTGTTACATTGTTAAGATCATTTTGGATACCTACGGCATCAGAAGGAGAAGAGATAGTAGTATAGACTTTCAAATCGTAGGCATAAATAAGATATTTGGAAGAGACAAAGCAAGAAGATGTAGATAAAGATGACAAATAGCAGAGGTTGTAGCATACTGCCTTGAGGGATACCGGAGGAGGCAATGAAAGGAAGAGACGCAAAGTTATCGACGACGACTACACATTTACGAAACGAGAAATAAGATTTAATCCAAGACAAAAAGGTAGAATGAAACCCTATACTAGCTAACTTGTTTAGTAATATTGAGTGACTTATTTTATCAAAGGCTTTGGAGAAGTCTGTGTAGATGGTATCAACCTGCAGGCGATCATTGAAAGCAATCGTGCAGAGTTCATAGAAGACAGCTAAGTTCGAGACAGTTGACCTACCAGGAACAAAACCGTGCTGGTTACTAGATACTCGGTGCTTGAATGAGAAATACATTCTCTGTTTTACAATATATTCAAGTAGCTTCGAGGTTGTTGACAATTGCGAAATAGGTCGGTAGTTGGCATCATTAGCCTTATTGCCCCTCTTATGAATTAGGGTAATAATAGAGGTAACATTCCACGCATCAATTAACACCCCACAGTCAAGAGATTTATTGAACATTGGAAGAAGCGGATGAGCGAATACTGCGCAGTTTTTTAATTGGTAGGAGGAAAATCCATCAATATCTGTTTTTGTAGAAGCTTTAAGATCGCGAATGCCATCCACTACATCTTCTATAGTTAGCATTAGCAACGTAGTTTCTATGGAGGATTTTTTGAGAGATGTAAACTCCTTCACATATCTTATCCGATTGTCCTTATACCGATTGTCATTAGATGATCTGAACTTTTTATGAAATTTGTTTCTTAAATTCTTCAATTTTCACAACTCCTTCGGGTACCACGGAATTTTGTGACAATATTGTTTCTTAGGCGGTATAATTACAGAACATGCTCTAAGACTATGTTTTTGAAAATATCAAAACAGATATTGCATTCTTTAGCTAAAGAAGTGAAAAAATATAAAGTTTTAAATTAAGGATAAGCGGTACGTGATGCTGGTCAGGGCAAGACAAGGGTTCAAAGCACTCGTGTAATGAGAAATTCATGTTACTACTTATGAAAATGAGATCTAAAGTTCTCAAAACCTTATTTTTAAAGTTATTATATTATTATAAGATCAATACTTAAAAATTTATCGACCAAATAAGTTTCGCGAAAATTGCTGATATTACCTGGAAACAAAGCCCGGCTATCATCCAAGTAGGACCAAGTAATGTTGGGCAAGTTAAAATCACCCAGAACACAAAGATTACCATCAGGCCTATTATTCTTAGTTACTAAAGCGAGGATATTATTAGCATGTGCTTTATAAAGCATGTCACTACTTGACAGAGGAATGTATGACGCACAAAGAAGAAGGGGAACTAATGAAGACCGAAAACAACGTAGAACAGCCACCAAAACTCCTCCACCTCTGGACAAACCAGTCTGAACGACATCCCGGTCCTTTCGATAAACATTGTAAAGATTTGGGTCAAAAAATTTATTTTCATTAAATTCAGAGTTGTGTCGATGAGGACAAAGATGTTATAATCCAAGTGTGCACTCTTATTGAAGAGTTATGTTTAGTCCTTATGCCAGATACTTTTGGGAAGTAGATTTTAAGCTGTCTGAGACTAGACTTATTCCGAACAGGGTAGTTACGTGTTTAGTTTCTGGAGGCCGTCCTTTGGAAACCAAAAGGAAGTATTTTGACATTAGTGGGCCAGCTGTTAGCATTTACCACCTTCTCGTAGTACCGTTCCGCCACCCCTAATTTGAAGTTGAGTTTAGGAAGATCATCCAATTCAATTTCATTGTGGAAGTCACTGTCAGATTTCCTATATCGACAGTGGTGTAGAGTGCGTTAAGATTACGAATACAGCGTTTTCAGCCAAGTACCTTTCAAATGTTTGGAATTAATTAAATTAATTGAATAAACGAATATTTACATACTTCTTCCATTAGTAAATCGCAACAAAAGTGTTCATTTTTAAATTTAATGAACTCGTTGATTCCAATTAATGTTGACAAAAATGCAACCGTGCGCCACAATCCTGCTTGCAAATTCTTACTGGCAAAAATTTTCCCAGCACGAATTTGCAACTTCCCCTCCAAATGAAATGTCAAAATTTTGCTCTCTCCTTGCAAGTTTTACTGGGTTTTTGGCTAACGAACACGATTTGGTAACAATTGGTACCAACTTGTACAAATTTTTTGCATAGCGAACACTCCTAATGGCATTGGTATCTTGTTAGAGATACCAACAACAGCATCGCGAAGTTTTTTAACTTCCGAAGTTAGCTTAGTTATATTCGCATCTTTGTCATTTACATTGGATTTTAGCGGAAGAATTTCAGCATAAAGAAGCTCAGTCTTTTGCTCTAATTGGCTTTTACTTTCGTCGAGCGTAGTTAGAAGCGAGAGGATGCGCACAATATCAGCTTTATGAGCAGTAATCTCTTTAAGAAGAGAAAATAAT